TTATCTCCCCGTCCGCCCACGAGCAAGATCAAGGGATATAACCCATCAGCCTATAAAGCTCGCTGCTTCCTTTTAACATCCACGCTGCTTCCCTAGTGAGGTAATTCTTTAAAGCAGACGAACAAGCAACAATGGACCACATTATCCTTTTGTGATCAGCCAATCTTTGGTCAGTGTTTTTTTTGATAAAATTCAATTTACGGAGCCATTTCTATTGAATACAGTTAAACTCATTGATCCTAACCGGTAAACAACCAATTAAAAAATAATTAAAACAAACCTTAATCAGTTTCAATTTTTGTTTTAGCGTACATTTTGCTTTTCAGATTATTTTTTTGCGAATCTGCCAAATTTATTATTCTCCGCTTGACAACAACAAAAAACCGTCTCAATTTAAAAAGCAAGATTTCGATAACTTAAAGAAACAAATGCAATTTATTGTTTTTACATTCCTCCAATCGAATGACGTTATAATTTTGTCCTTAATTACTAGGAGAACCTAATTACAACAAGATTTCTATTTAAAATATTTTAAAATATCCGGAGGGGAGGGGGACCTGCTCCAGAACAGAATGCAAGGCGTGAATGAAATACTGCTCACAGCCTGACAGAGCGGTAACTCAGACACGTGAGAACGTGTTTTAGTACTCATCTTCAGCAGGAAAAAAAACTTCCCCCCAGCGCCAGACTCAAGGTGTTGCAAGAGAAACAGAGCCTGAAGCAGACGACTCAACGTCATTGTCTTCCCGTCCAATAATTGCAACTACCTGTTAAAAAACCACCCGTCTCCACCGCGCTTCGCTGAACAGTGCATTGATTTTTAACAGGTAATTAGACACGTAAAATAGCGCTGCTTATGACAAGTTCAGGTATGTGACGTCTGATGAACGACGCCGTCGTGAGCTGGCGACGCGCTACAGCAGAGATTATCAGGTAGACGGCCTGATTCCGACACCTGCCGTAGCCAGATGATAATCTGCTCAGGTAAAAGCAGTCTGACAAATGAAGCTGGGTCTGAGATTATGCCAGGGGGTGCCAGTCGTTGAGCAGATAAACACGACTTAACATTCTAGATAACACGGCTTAACATTCTTTTAATCAGCTGTTTGCTAGACTGATGATAATCAAACCACAACTAAGAAAATAAAAACACGGAAACATTTTGTACGTGGGCTTGTAGTTACACAGGTCTACATCGTTTTAAAATAAATTGATTATTTGGGAGGTTTTTTTTTAATTAAAGCTTTTACTTTTTGCAAAGCGTGAAAGGTTGTTACGTCAAAATATAAGTGACAATGTTCAAACTTGCAATATAGTGTGTTTCTTTAAGTTCAATATTTGATAGTTGATGCTACCGTTTACTGCTTAGATACAGCTATTCTAAAAGCCATTTACGAAGGTCATTGTCCTTCAGCTAAAACCCTTTTCCTGCAGCTAAAACCATTATGCACCCTGCTACAGCCATTGTGCATCCAAATAAAGCCATTTTGCTTCTAACTAAAGCTATCTGCATATTGCTAAAGCCAGTTGCACAAATCTAAATACTAGAGTGTGTTATTACTTATCTGCACCGGTGATTTCTAATAGGGTAAATCTTAATACTCGGAGTTTGAAGAGCGTGTATCGTTATTGATGTTGTCTGTTTACAGTATAACTACTTATATCATCAATATTGATGTTATCTGTTAAAAGTGTAAGTAATTATATCATTAATATATATGCTATCTGCTTAAATATAACTAATGAATATGGCGCGCATAATTCAATATATCGATGCATGCATAAAGCTATCAATTTGCGCAAAATCGTTGCCAGAAAGTATTGTAAAATGTTATAAGCTAGTTAAAGTTTGTTTGCACAAACTGAGTATTTATAGCGATGGTATAGTCTAGATCAGGGGTTCCCAACCCCGTGCCCGCGGGCGCCATGGCGCCCGCCGAACGATTCGTATGTGCCCGCCTCTCTCTATTCGACAGAGACAGAATTTTTTTCATAAACATTATTGAAAGGTTGAAGGGGATGGAAATTGAAATTTTGAGGGGGGGGGGGGGGGGGGGGCGGTGCAAATCGAACACTTGAGGGGGGTGCAAATCAAAAGTCTAGGGGGGGGGGGTGCAAATAAAAAATTTGAGGGGGGGGGGGGTGCAAATCGAAAGTTTTGTCCCCGGATGACGGGAAGGGTCGCTACGCCTCTGGAACGAGTTTGTCGATTTAAAATAGGTGGTGCCCGCTACCCTACCGATATTTTAGAATGTGCTCTAGAGTAAAAAAAGGTTGGGAACCCCTGGTCTAGATATTTCAGTTTCTAAAGAGTGTCTGTTTAGTTTAGTAAGTTAGAAGAGACGGATGTTTTTTGTACATAGGATAAGTTCATGGAGATAACGCGACATCTAAACATAGTTTTATCTGACAGTTTTCTCCTACCAGTCTGGGTTATCCAACGACGAGTAAACAGGGTATCCGACACAGTTACTCAGTCATTACTTCATACAGTACGCAATTTTTTACTTAACATACAGTACCCATACATTACTTCATACAATACGCAGAATTGTACTGCACATACAGTTACTCAGTCATTACTTCATACAGTACGCAATATTTTACTTCACAGACAGTAACCCAGACATTACTTCATACAGTACAGAATATTTTGCTTCACATACAGTACCCATACATTACTTCATACAGTACTCAATATTTTAGTTAACATTCAATACGCAATATTTTACTTCACATACAGTACCACGAACACCGGACCTTACATAGTATCCCACACATTACCACTCATTGTGCACCCACACTGCACCCCCACACATTACTCCCACACAGTACCCCCAACAGTCCTCACACACAGTACCACTCATTATACAACCACACAGTATCCCCACACAGCCCTCCCACACAGTACCCCCGAAAGAACTTGACACAGTATTCCCAAACCATACTATCACAGTGCCTCACACAGTAGGCCTACCAGAGTTTCTTCCAGGCATCTCTTCGGCTTTGCCCCCCCCCCCCCGAATTTTTTTACCGCCCCCCCCCCCCCCCCCCCCCCGAAAATTTTAAGTGCCTCCCGGAGAAAAAAGTCTGGAAGACTGGAAGAAACACTGCACAGTACCCCCACACTCAGTACTCAGAAATTTTACATTATCTTCCCACGCGCAGTAGCACACACATTATACCCACACAATAATCCCTTACACAAATTGTCATACTAACTCCCCCCCCCCCCACATTACCGCATTCAGTTCCTCACACTGTAAACAACAATATTTATTCCTTCCGCAAGAAAAATAGTTTCCTCCTAATTAAAACACAATTTATTCGCTCAACATTTCCTGATTTTAAGTCCCCATCCAGCCTCCTAATTTGCGCGCTAATTAACTCGTTATTTAAATAATTACAAAAATATTACAACACTTGCTCCACTCTCTATAGCGTCTGATTAGCTGTTGATTGCGGCTAGTTTGTTAATGAAGAACTACTCGGAGATTATTCATTTCGTAGTGCTCGTGGTTAACATATTAGTTGTAAGAATTTTACAAGTGTTACTGGGTTTTAAGCCAACGGAATGTCACAAATACAACTGTTAATTGTTTGTTGGTTCGTCTCTTTAAAATGTTGTAGTAGTTTCATCATGATATACTGTTGCAGCAGTACTACTACATAATGGGAGACGATTATTTTAACCGGAGACATACGAAATAAATGGTCAAATCAACGTTTGAACACGCATGAAAACATTGGGCAACTATACATAGAGACAGCGGTAGAATAACGAGGGTGAAGTATTTACAGATGGAAAAGGGGGGGGGGGGGGATAAATAGTGCAGCAATCTATCTTTTTAATTTTGCTTAATCAATGGAAAACTGATTGTTAACTAATCTCTGGAGAGGAGGGGGGGTGTTCATAAAAACAATTTACCAACAGCATTCGGTTGTTTTCATGAGGTGGGTGGGGGAAGGGCGGTTACATCCTTTTAGGTATTCTTTTGATTTACCTATAGATATAAGCCTATGCAACTAGCTAGCCAGGTAAACTTCATGCATGGACTCACGTGATATATCTCGCCCTTTACCCTCACCTAAATTAAATTAGTTGATGGTCTCAATTAAGCTAAGTCCAGACATGCAAACAGAGTTTCTTCCAGGCATCTCTTCGTGGGGGCTCTGCCTCCCCCCCCCCCCCCGGAATTTTTAGTCCGCGCCCCCGAAAATTTTAAATGCACCCTTCCCCCCCCCCCCAACGTTATGTGACAGACATTTAAATATCCAATGTCATGTATCTGACATCTAGACATTCAATGTCATGTATTTGACATCTAGACATTCAATGTCATGTGACAGACATTTAAACATCCAATGTCATGTATCTGAAATCTAGACATTCAATGTCATTTATCTGACATCTAGACCTCCAATGTCATGTATCTGACATCTAGACCTCCAATGTCATGTGTCTGACATCTAGACCTCCAATGTACCACAAGCAGGCTGTGATGACGTCTCGAGTTCAAATAATTCTTTACATCCGCTCTAGGCTTCTACATGGCTCCTAAATTAGCCGTATTATATTTCTGTTTGCCGGAATTCTCTGGCTTTTGACCGGACGAGCCGGCTATCTAAATAATTTAAACATCGAAGATTAAGATCACTTTCTTTATCTTCTTGGCTGTCCTAAAGGCGATATAAAAATATTACCCAATATTACCTTAAGTAATGAATTGAAACAGTTTAATACTGTATTATATAAAATTAGTATTTTGGCTGTATGCGTGATTATGAATAGCGGATACAAAACCATAGCGTTGCACGAATGTGGGTGGGGGAGGTGGGGGTGGGGGAACTGCTGGCGAGCAAGAGACACGCCGCTCACTGCCATAGGGTCGGGCGGGGAGAGAGTCGAGCCTGACTAGGGTGGGGAAAATAATTACCTGTGAAGCAGACGGGATGAGCGCTACTACACCTGCGCTAATTGGTGGACAAGGGACATAACACCGCTCACACTGTACAAGGGACATCACTGGCTATTCTTTCTACTAGGGATACCATTCATTATTCTTCGTACAAGGTACACCACTCTTTATTCTCCGTGAAAGAAACATCACTGGTTATTCTTCGTACAAGGGACATCAATCGTCATTCCTTGAATAAGGGACATCACTCGTTTTTCTTCATACAAGGGATATCACTCGTCATTGCTGTGACGACTTTTTAAAAATATCTCCATCCGTGTTAACATATTTCTCTCTTCGTGATAATGGAGTTATCAACTCAAATTTTTCAGGTACGTATGAGCAAATATTTTCTGTCTGAAAATTATTTATATTATATTTTACCTACGCTATAGAGGGAATAAAATGGCTTGCAGATTCTAGTCTGCGTTTCTCAAAATTAAAAACTCAATTATCTACGGCAGCTGAATGTGGTCATGCATACTTAGTCAAGAAGTTAATTAAAAATTATGGGAAATTGGAGGAAAATTTGGTATAAAAATTTAAATTATCGAACTACTCGTTTTCAACGTATACGTGCCTAAATAAAATATTTTAAAAATAATTTTTCATAATTTGTTCCGCCACCAATGAAAAAAATGCGATACAATTTCGGCAATTAGCGAGACTAATTAAATTTTTAACAAGGTTATAAACAAAATTCTTCCTCCACGCGAAAAAAGAAATCTCTTATCCTGAAGTTGACTGCTTATCTTTTCGGCGTAAATCGTGGCTTGTATCCTGGGCTAGCTCCTAGGATAGACCTAATTGTAGGCCAAGGTGAATCTTAAGATGAATTTCAAAGAAAAATAGACCCTTTTATCTGAGCACGGAAAAAAGTCACGTAACTAATAAAAAGAATTCTACTAAAGTTTCTTAACTGCTAGCGACATCTCTTAATTAGAAGTTGTTCGTTACTAGCTCAGTCTTTATACATAAAGATGAAGTTTTAATTTTCTCAAGTTTTAATTATTTACCTGATTACTTTCATCTTTCCATTTCAATATTTCCAAGCGTGCAATGTACTTGGTCGAAGCATTCTAAAATTTTTTAACTTAATTTTTTATGCAACACGTACATGCAAGCGTAGGGCGCAGTTTTTAGAGATGGGGGCATGTTCTGGCGATTTAACATGACGTCACATGTCATGTGACATTATCGTCAAGATTTGAATGGGGTTTTCCCGATGGGGTTAAGATTAACTGTTTTCCGAGAAAGGTTCAAGGTTATTCTGAAGATGTAGATTGGATTAGGGATAAGTATAAGCGGTCAGAGATCACAGTGGATGGTGCTCTTTTTGTGTGGAGTGGTTGGTTGGTGGTTCTGTTTTGCTCTAGAGTCGTCAAAGAAATGTTGCTATTGTTTTGGTGATTAGTGATGGAGCTGGTTATTTGAAACGATTATATGTAAAAAAATTTTAGTGTTGTTTTCGTAAAGTGGTAGGCAGTGGTAGTGTTGTTTTGTGGTAGGGATGGTGGTGGTGTTGTTTTGTGGTAGAGGTGGTGGTGGTAGTGTTGTTTTATGGTAGAGATAGTGGTGATGTTCTTTTGTGGTAGGGATGGTGGTAGGGTTGTTTTGTCGTAGCGATGGTGGTGGTAGTATTATTTTCTGGTAGCGATGGTGGTGGTAGTATTATTTTGTGGTAGCGATGGTGGTGTTATTGTTTTGTGGTAGCTATGTTGTTATTAGTAAGTCGATACCAGAAGTAATCTTTCTACGAAATAACACCGTTCATCGGTAAAGCTTTTCAGCGTTAGGCTCTGTCTTTTATTGTACTGAAATAAGCACTAACCTATGTCTGTTATTGTATTAAAATAAGCGCTAACCTATGTCTATTATTATACTGAAATAAGCACTAACCTATGTCTATTATAGTACTGAAATAAGCACTAACCTATGTCTATTATTGTACTGAAATAAGCGCTAACCTATGTCTATTATTGTACTGAAATAAGCGCTAACCTATGTCTATTATTGTACTGAAATAAGCACTAACCTATGTCTGTTATTGTACTGAAATAAGCACTAACCTATGTCTGTTATTGTACTGAAATAAGCACTAACCTATGTCTATTATTGTACTGAAATAAGCGCTAACCTATGTCTATTATTGTACTGAAATAAGCGCTAACCTATGTCTATTATTCTACTGAAATAAGCACTAACCTATGTCTGTTATTGTACTGAAATAAGCGCTAACCTTTGTCTATTATTGTACTGAAATAAGCACTAACCTATGTCTGTTATTGTACTGAAATAAGCGCTAACCTATGTCTATTATTGTACTGAAATAAGCACTAACCTATGTCTGTTATTGTACTGAAATAAGCGCTAACCTTTGTCTATTATTGTACTGAAATAAGCACTAACCTATGTCTGTTATTGTACTGAAATAAGCGCTAACCTTTGTCTATTATTGTACTGAAATAAGCACTAACCTATGTCTGTTATTGTACTGAAATAAGCACTAACCTATGTATGTTATGTACTGAAATAAGCGCTAGCCGCCGTCTCTATTTGTACTGGACCCAGAAGTGGAGCTAATAACGCCTACGTTTGTCGATATGTTCCTGTATTACGGTCAGCTAATAAAACTGTCCATCTAAAGATCGTGGTGCCATTGATGTAGAGCTAAGAGAATCTAATAACATCAGTTGGTCCAATCTCTCCTTAAACAATTTTTGTATTTCACCTTTATTTATCCAGGAGGTAATATAAACATTGTTATCCGAATGTTTACATAAACTTTGTTCTAGTACCTTGTTTATATTTAAACAATGATTTAACAAATATTTATTTAAATAAATATGTTCCTACAAATTTTTATTTTAACACAATTCTTATAATCTTCAAAACATTTTAAAAACACTCTTGCATTTAGTTGCTATTAAGATTAATTTAAAATTTAGCTCTTTTAATTATCCGTTTCTAAAATTTAATTGAGTTTTTACAATTAGCCTATGCGGAGATATAGGCTTTTTAAACACTATTTTATTAAATTAAATGTTCTAAAAAATATATGCTAAAAAGAAAAATTTCAACATAGCTCTCACATTTAGATACGACAAAAATTTGTTTAAAATTAGCTCTTAAATTTAGCTCCTAAAACTATTTGTTTAAATTTAGCTCCTAAAACTATTTGTTTAAATTTAGCTCCTAAAACTATTTGTTTAAATTTAGCTCCTAAAACTATTTGTTTAAAAATAAAACATTTCAAACAGTCGCTACTGTTCAGATGCCGGAGGAATCTATTTTAATCCTTTTGAAGAAAATTGTATTAAAATGTAATTTAAAAGTTTTGTAAATATTGATAGGAGCCGTCCCTTGTCTATGAAGGGAAGAGTTGGGGAGGCTTGGGGAGATTTGGGGAGAATCGGGGAGATCCCGATAAAAGGCAACGTTGGTGGGGCGATATGCAGTGAAAACGTGTGTGTGTTTGTTGTAGGTGCGTGAAATGTTTCGTGAATGCGTGTATTTTCTTACGTCTTGTGTGAGCGGTGCGGTAAACGTACCTGGTAAAGTTGTATTCAAATCTGACGTAACGATAGCTGGTCACGAGGTCTAGACTTTGGTTTCTGAATGAAAATTGATTGCGGGCGGTGTAGACAGGGGCGCGCTGGTGGAAAGAAGGGGGGGGGGGTGTTTTCAGACAGAGGTAACGCCTGGAGCCTGCAACAACAAGCAAAGTTTGACGCGGCAAACGGTTGAACTCTCGTCTGCTTCCACTTACTGTGTGACGCAGTGTTATCTTTTGTTTTATTAGCTCTCGTGTAAGCCTTGTAGGAAGTTGTTGCCATGGTAACCAATCATCGCTGAGCTGTCCAGCTGTTATGTAAGATTTCCGTAATTTCGATGTAGAAGTTTTTTTTTTACGCCTGCCGCGAGTTTAATAGTGTCTTGTATTTATTGGCGAAATAATTATAATTTCGTGTTTTTAAATAAAACTATTTTAGTAGTAAAACAAGTAAAATTCTTTCTCCAAATTATCTTGACCATTCTTTTTTTTAATTCTGGGAAATGAATGAAACACATATTTAGTAAGGCTCACTGGTCTGGTTGTGATTTATGTCATTTTGTGATACAACGTCAAGATTATCACAAAGAAAAATATCACATACATACAAGAAAAAAGTCACGTCATCCAGTTGATGTCTAAAAATAGATTTACAGTTATCATCTGCTTTCGCATGCATCTGGATAGTCTCCGCTGTATTGAAACCAAGATAGCTTGCATACCAATATTTCACTCTCCTGTGTGCGGAGTTTGAAAAGGAAATTCCTTCTTAGTTAGAAGAGACTAATTCAAGAGAGTAAAAATACAAAACACGAAATACTCAGAAACGAAATGTATTGCACAATGAGTATTTGGATGAGATAAGCAATTATTACGTCTGGATGTAAATCCGAAGAATGCGAACAGTTCAGTAATGAACTGATGTGAAGGTCAAAATATAAAGAATGAGTTTTGTTTTAGTTTTTGTGGAACAATGCAGACGTTTCTTATTAACATATGTATCTGGTAGTTGCTTATAAATATCTGAGTATTTACTTACCTGATTTCCTGTCTTTGAACTGTTATTACTTGTAGATTCAGAGAGTATTTACAATTGAAGTTGTTTTTAATTTACAGTGAAAGCATATGGTACCCGTAAAGATGGACAAAGTTCTGGATACAACAGGACCGGATATCGCCCAGGACATGCTTCTACAGACAACAGGTAGCAGGTCATTATACGAAAGAACAACATCATCACCACTCTACAACAACACTCGGCCACCTGACGATATAACAACCTGGCCATTCAGCTTCCCCCCGGCCAACGTTACCCCAGCCGACGCCACATCATGGCCTGTCAGTTTTTCCCAAGACATCAACACAACCGTGGATTTATCAACTCAGTCTGATATTGTTGTCTCCCTTGCTGGTACTGTAGGACTCTCCCTTCTCTTCTTCGCCATCGTCTTCATCGGAATCATCGGCAACTGTCTGGTGATCGTGGTCATCTTAACTGACCAGAAGATGAGGCAGTCGGTGACGAACTTGTTGATAATCAACCTGGCTATGGCGGATTTGATCATCATGGTGTTCGGGGTGCCGGAGATTGTCATGTTCATGATGAGCCGGGGGTGGCTTCTGGGGTCTGTCGCCTGCAAGGTCAACAGGTACATCCTGGTTGTCGCCCTTTATTCCTCGGTCATCTCCCTTGTTGTGTTGTGCATAGAAAGGTAAGTCAGCAGGGGACATAATTTTTCTTTTATTAATGCTCGGGCTTACGGTTAATGTTTAGAATATTCAAGGAACAACCCAAATTCGAAACAGTATACTCGTATACATTATGGGACGGAGTGGTCTAGCGGTAGAGAGCTGGACTGCTAACCCGTAAGTCTCGAGTTCGAATCCGGGTTCAAGTCAGCAGACCGTCCCTGAGTCCACCCAACTCTGATGGGTACCTAACTCACGTTAGGGAAAGTAAAGGCGGCTGGGCATAGTGTTGACTACACTATCTCTTCATATGATGAGGTCACAGAAACAAGTGAAGTCCACTTCACTTGCCCTATATATATATATATATATATATATATATATATATATATATATATATATATATATATATATATATATATATATATATATATATATATATATATGAAACAAATATATACGCAGACACATAATAGTTTACATTATTGTACATCGACTTTGCGAGCAATAGCGTACTGGATTTCAGAATCTGCATTAAAGTCTACATCTCTTTTTCATTAAACACAGCACACAGCAGTAAAAAAAAATCTTCATGTCTGTATCTTTTAATCAGACCACACACTAAAATGTCTGTCTGCCTTTAATTTTAGACAGCGGTACTCCACGTTTGTTTACCATTTACCGACAGTACAACGAGGCTTCAAACAACGAGGGTTGTTGTATTCATTGATCTTTTATCATGGACACAAAGCGCTCACCCTCACACTAGCAATACACGTTATTACCCTGTGGTTCTTGTTTAACACTACATGCTTTAATGGAGCGCCTCTTTTATTGAATAATGGATTAAAGTCGAGTCCAGACAAAGCATGAACATAGTTATGTTAATTACCTTTTAACGATTAGCGGTGGGGAAGGCCCCATTACATTGATGTAAATGGTTTTTAGAATTCGCTTATTCAGCTCCGTCTCAGCATAATTCGACCCTTTCTGATGTTTGTATTATTACGTATGGTTTATTTCACCCCTCCATAACTAACTGTATAAGCAGACAGGCATGCAATCGTCTGTTTTTTATTGCTCTTTTTAAATTAAGGCTGATTGAGCCACATATTCCCTTAGCATCTACCATTAACATCTTTAAAACGAATGCCGATCTAAACAGATATTTATTTAGCATCTACAAATAGCGTCTTGAAACGAAGATAGATCTAGCCACATATCCCTTTAGCATCTACCAATAGCATCCTTGAAGCGAAGATTGATTTAGCCACTATTTCTTTACCATCTACCATTAATGTTCTTGAAGCGAAGGCCGATTTAGCACTATTCCTTTAGCACCTACTACTAACGTCCTTCAAACGAAGACCGATCTAGAGACTATTTCTCACCCAAGCCTCTAGTGTCTTATAACCAGCTCTGAGCTCGCCAAATATTCATTTCACACCTGCAGCCCCTGAAAACCCCAACCCCCCACCTGTAGGAGTGAGTAACTCAGCATCCCCCAGCATCAACACGCCATCACTCGTCACGCACTAATTGCACGTGCAGCTCACCCAACCCTAACCCTAACCCAGACCGATGACAGACCTGGAACTTCGGGCCGTTGAACTGCGCCAGTTCCCAGTTTTTAATCGAATCAACAACGTGAGCGACGTTTTAACGATTTGTTTACATTTTATTAATTACACCAATGCTTCGACTTCAAACACCCTTCATTAAAATAGCGAACTTTCTTCGCCGACGATTACCTACGTTTGTGTATTATTTTCTACTTTAGTAGGTAATTTTTCAAAAATGTTTACAAACTCAGAAGGAAACAGCTATGAAAAACAGTTAAATGTTCACATTTTTCTCGTAAAGAAGCGAACGTTTTTAGACAAATTATTATTGTTTCAAAAACAGTTTCCAATCAACTTGTTTGTTTCTTCCTTCGCCCGTTCGTAAATTTCACACTAAATCTAGATCTAGAATGTATTTCTGAGCATGCTCAGATGAAACTATTCTCATGATTCATGCTGGTGCAGTTCTAGTGCCGTGCAAGACGTTCGCAGTTAGGTTTCTTATGTTGGTATAGTCGGGGATTGAACCCAGGACAATGGGCTAGACTTTCAATTCAACTAAAAAATGACGAGTAGGACGTTAGACACGATTCTGATTTACGACTAACCACGAGCTATAACTGCCTTGTTTACATAACCAACATTACGATAATTCTTTTTGTTTAAAGCATCCGATTTGTTCAATATTCTCTTTAAAAATAATTTCTAAGTAAAACTTTTGTGGAGAAATTTCAATAAATATTAAAATGTATATATAACTCATAGATTTTTAATTTTTAATTTGATTGCATTCACAAAGCTTAATGTAATTTTAATTGCAATTTTTTTTTGGTTTTATTAGCATTAACAGTATACTTATTCTTTGATTGAGTGCATATGTTAAGTATTTCGAGGCAACTTGTTAGCTGTTAATTACTTTAATTAAAAGTTTAACTAATCCCCATGCAAGACTCACGGTACAAGAATCATTATGTATCACATATGACCTAAACTTCTCTCCCCTACCCCATGAAAGTTCTGCATTTTTCTCTAGGAGTTTTCGCCCTTTCTTTTGAAGTTCGATTATCTCCCTGCTTTGTTTCATGCACTGCGATCAGCAGGGGAGACGACCCACCGTTATGAATGTTTATGGTGATTGTAGATGAGAGTTCTCTTTATCTATGTCAAGCGTTCAAGGGAGGGAAGAGTTGGGGGTGACGGAGCCGATACTTCACCTGAAGCATACCTGGAGTTGACGAGATTACAGATCACCTTTGATAAACACAAACATGAATTGTGTAAGCCCAAGACCTTCATCTTAAGGCGAATCTGTTTCAACTCTAGAATAAAAATATTCTTTTCTATGTTCAAGGCTTACAACAACAAAAAAAACAAAAAACAAAAAAAAAAACAAACAAAATAAATCAATCAATCAAGAATAACGTTTTTATATACCTACTTATTCACTTTACAAAATATAGAATAACACACCCACTGTTGTCAAAAGTAGAAAAACAATAATTGGTTGTATCGAAAAGTCCGAGTTCGAACCCCCGAACAGATAAGGTTTGCTATCTATCAACTCTTCTAGGAGAGAAAACTCACTCCAAGATCTTGCCTTGTAGTTTATTCCTGTTGGAAAAAGGCCAAGGGAGCTAATCCAGAAGTCAACGGCCTATATGGCGCTTTACAAGTTGACACGTAATACTTAATGGAGGAAAAACCGTGCAACATTTCAATCAAGAACGAAGAAAAATAAATAATTGTATTTCATTCTTAGACTTAACCAGACTACTGACAGTTCCAGGCTACTAATGGACAGTCCAGTTAAGCCCCCGCAGGCTTGTGATTTATCCAGTTGGGTTAGAAATTGACGGTCATGTGTCCGGATACAGGATCTACACGGCCTCAACTTTAAACCAACCCTAGCTCAGCCAATACTTTTGTAGTATAACATTTTAAATTATTCACTTATTGAAACTTTGTAAGCCCCTATATTTTTTTAAAGCGTAATCCTTACGTTAAAGAAATTTTTAAAATATTTTTATTACATAAAGATCCATTTTAATATATTTTTATAGCTTTGTACTATTTCTGTAGGATTTCACAGGATTTTGACCTTTAAAAAAAAAGAGATTTAAACCAATTTTTCATCTATGAAAATAAAAATGTAATGGAATTCTTTCCTTTGGCGTAGGAATATTTTCACGGGAATCTAAATACTTACATTCTGTCAGCTACAGGTATCTAAACCTTCAAAAATTAATCCGCGGTGTTTAAAATCTTTGACTGGCGCACAAGACATAAGCTCAGAGGGAGGTGTGTACTTCAGATCAGAGGAGTACATGAGGGGTGCGGACTACCTAGAGATTAAACTCTGGATTCGTTTTAACAAGTTACAACAGGGCTTAAGCTCATGGGCTGTGTTACTCTGTGTTAATTCTCTACAACAAAGGGAAAAGCTTTACGTAGCGTTTACACTTGCAACTTGTATAGTATACAAATATAGGGAAAATAAAACTCCGAAAAATAAGTATACATGTTTCGTGGGAAAAACGTTTTCATTTTAAATTAACTATTTGCGATTTTTTTTTTCTTATATGTATACTATACATGTCGCAAGTGTGAACGCGACGTAAGGCTTTTTCCTTTGTATTAATATGCTAGGTAATGTTTTGTTAAACATCAAATTCTTTCTAAAATATTGACAGAGCTTAATCAACATAGAAAATATTAATCGATTCCTATTACAGTTTACAATAGCAGCTTTCAAAAGCGCGAAATAACGGCTTAAACTCTGCTTATAACATTACTTTTAAAAAAAATGCAACAGTTTCTCACTTTCTGAACCTCCCCGCCCCCCCCCCCCCCACCACACACCAATAACAGTGTGACGTCATTTACGGACGAACTCTTAAAATGGAGAGTGGTGTTTCGTGAATAACACTTACAATCTATACCGCCATCTGTAGAATCTGACTTATGACGGCGGTGCTTAATGATAACACATTCATATTATACCACCAGCTGTAAAATTGACTTATGAATTCACACTATACCACCAGCTGTAGAATCTGACTTATGACGGCGGTGCTTAATGATAACACATTCATATTATACCACCAGCTGTAGAATCTGACTTATGAATGAGGGAGGTGCTGATAATACATTCACACCATACCACAAACTGTAGAATGAATTGACTTATGAATGGGAGCGGTGGTTAATGATAACACATTCACACTACACCACCGTCTGTAGAATCTGACTTATGAATGGGAGCGGTTCTTAACGATAGCAAGTTATCTCTAGACGGCCGACCGCTCTAGCTGACCTCTCACCACTGAAGACACGTGTAAGATGATAACACATTCCCTTTAGACGTCCGACTTGAAGGCGGATATTTCCGTCTCGATAAGGGTCTGGTTGTCTAATGCATGCCAGCCTGCCATTGGTCAGAAAGTACCACGTGATCAGTGGTG